CATTCCTGCACCTTGTCTAGCATTAATTGATGTCATATCTCCCAACATAGGAATAGCATTTTCAACAACTGCTGCCATGACATTTGTTGTCATCGATTTGGCCATTGTCACAATGCATCTACAAGCAGCTAACCTAACAGCCACATGGGAATTCCGCACACATTTGAAAATGCAAGGCAACAGAGTAAGAAGTCTAGGTCTCAGTGCCTCATCCAGCACCGGAGAAATTGAACGTACCACCTGCAAAAAAGATAAAAAAAAAAATAGCACATAAATAACAGCATTGCAAACTAAAGTATGTTATCTAGTGAATGGATATATGATAGCCAAAAAAACCTCAAAAAAAACTCACTAGAAGGCTCCATTAATTACCGGCTTCACGCTCCACTATACAAGTGGTACTTACACAATTTTTATATTCATTCTATCAAGGGAGTCTGTTAAGACAGTCTATTGGTAAGTAGTGGTCAGAGACAATAAAGTTTGACAAGTTAGAATAATAATCAAAGAAAGCTAAACAGAATGGATGTACCTGGATGTTATTTATCAGGATCTGTGGATCCTTAATAGATTCTATATCAAGCTCAATTTTCTGTTCATCTGCAGGAGGTCGAGGAACAAGGAGCTCGGTGAGACAATCCCACAATTTCGGAAGCTTATCAAACAAGCATCCCCTGAATTTCTGACATAATTGTCTCAATGCAAGTTCAGATCCTCTTCTGGTAATAAAGCCCTCAACTCTCGACCTATCTTCACCACCAGCCAGTATGTGAGCTTTTGATTTATGCTTTCCTGTACTACTTCCTAGCTGTAGAAAATCTGGATCATCAATGATCTCCATAGACACAATGACACTTGCTTGAGGTGTCTCACAAGGATCTGCACACGTCAAACTGCAGATGTTCTTGATAAGCTTGTCATTAGGACTTGGCTTCCGGTCTAGGCAGTGAGAAATAAGTTCTGCAAGAGCCTCAGCAGCTATCTGCTGAAGTATTTCTTCCTATAATGAAAAAAGAGTCAGTTCCTACTGTACTGTCCTAGCAAACGGAAATTTAGTTTCAGATACAACCTGCTCTCGTTTAATCGAAGCCATCAGGGGCAAGATTATTGGATTAAGTCTTGCAGGAAAATCTGACATCCAAACAACTGCAGCAGCAACCAGAGAGGTGACTGTAACATGTAAATTACTCTGCAATGTAAACAAAACCCCGAAATTAGCATATAAAAGCTATATTTTCAAAAGCAGAAATCAAAATACCAAATTGAACTGACAAATGATAACCTCGAAATATATATACACAGCACATACAAAAAAAAAACAAGAAAAAATATTCAGTGTACCTGGACACATTTTAGATAGCCAGCGGTAGTCAACAGCCGTTGTCTAGACGACTCAACATCCTCAAAAACTTGCTTTTCCAAGAATTCGCTTCTAGCATGGTCTTTGCTTAAGAGAGCCAATGTTGAAGCAAATTCAATTGCCTCATCAGCACTCAAGCTCTCCACCTTAGGTTTAGTTGATGATAACTTCTCAAAAAGATTGATTGACTCAACCATATGTAACAATTGAGAAGCCTCATTCCTCATTTTAGAGTATGTTCTCGAGAGCTCAGCGTAGGGAACAAGTACATCTTTTGTGGGGAAAGCAGGATCTGAGCAAGCTAACAAATCTAATAGCCACTTTTTAACATCACTGGGGAAACCTGGCAAAATTCCATTTCTCTCAGAACCTGCCATGCATTTAATCTCTCTGAACCAAGAGATAATAATGATGGATGCAACCTGAAAAACAAGTGATTTAGCTCTCAGACATGCACAGATAGACGGAGGGTGATCGCATGAATGAGAGAAAGAAAGTGCGCGCGCGCGAGAGAGAGAGAGAGAGAGAGAGAGAGGGAGAGAGAGTGAGTGAGAAGAGATCATTACCTGGCGCTGGACACCCGAAAGAGATGTAAGAGCACTACACAAAGGATCTATCACAAACCGCATTGACCCATCGCTCAGCCTGGAAGCAAGGATACCCAATGCAGATGCTGTAACAACTCGAGTTTTGGTCACTGACATTTCAACATCAGAACCAACAATAATCTTAATGGAGCCTGCAGAAATATCATCGTTTCTTTCTACTATGGCTGAACTCTTCCCAGAATCAAAGCCCAGAGAGCTTGAAGCTTCATTTTCAAGTTTCACAGCTTTCATCTTAGCAGCTGCTTTAAAATGACTTTTACGAGGGGGGGCTACAGGCCAAAACATTTTTGCAGCATCCAACGGAGAACCATAAGGCGTCGTTGCAAGCTCTAACCACGAAGCAACGAATGATGTTGCAGCATCCTCTAAATCTTTTACCGGGCACTAAATAAGAAGAAAAACGAAAGTTATAAACACAAAAAATAAAAACAAACTGTGAAATGAAATCAAAACTAAAGGGAACATTAACATTTTTTTCCCATTAGAATATGCACCAATTGGGGAACATTGTCTCACAACAACCTACATGATTCTTAGAAGCACTCTATATATACCCTTACTCCATTCAGCAGTTTAACTATGGGTAAGCTTTACAAAGCAGAAAACATCCACCTACCAATAAAACAAAAGGAATACACAGTGACAGCGCTACACAAAATTCAATCTTTTTACGCCAGCGTCATATAAACTTGCATCTCTCACATTGGAGAAATCCCAATGACAACGTGCAAAAACTGGAAGAGAAGTGGAAGCAAAAGTTGCTGAAAATTTTATCTCATAATTTTAACTTCAATGTGCAACAAAAAAGACATTTCAATCCAAAGAGCCCTGTAGATGAAGCAGCATCAAAATGGAACAGAGTTAAAAACAAGCTAACTTTCTACCAACAAGTACCTGAACCAAAAACCTCCAAACTCTCTCTGAACACTGCAGAATCTCCTCATTTGATTCTAGTAAAAGATTCTGAAAGACAATCCTTAGGGTGTCGCCTAAGATAGAAGATGGCCACAAAGAACCTTCAGATTGCTCAGAAATGTTCTTTCTGCAACCAGCTTCAAGAAGTCGTTCCTGCAGAGGGAGAAAATTAGGATCTGGTAATAAACATCGGCAACAAACACCAAAAGTAAAATATTGCAAAGAAAACAATAGGAACCTAAAACCATAAAACATAACAGGTCAGAATAGGTGACAAATACCACAAAAGTGCGAGTAAGTCATACAAACAATAGCAAACATGTGAACCTCACATTAAAAATAATTTCTATTCTTGTGCAAACAATAGGAACTTACCAAAGTGCGAATAGCAGAAAATCGGACGGATGTGATGCTGTGCCTCATAAATGGCCACAACCTAGGGGCCAATGCTGATAATCCATAAGGATTTTCCTGGACATCTCTTCTTTCACTTACATTCTCAACATAAACGATTTCATTGAGGTCAAGATTTTGTTCCTCCCCTGTTTTCAGTAAACTGTGCAACATGGGAGTCATACCTTCTTGCGAATAGAGCTCAGCCAGCAGATTCATAACACTGCAGAAAATTTAGGAAGTTTGTAACACCACTCAGAAACAATTAACCGTGACATTGAAGTTTAGTTTGAGAGTTTCCAGTCATTTTGACCAGAATTCTCTAGAAGCATCAACCTTACAACTCAGACAATCCCGAACTGAAGCTAAACTACAAAATTTACAATGCACAGGAAACAAAAAAGTTTATATCTTTCTGGATGGAGAAAAAAAAAGGAACAACTTCATCAACATGTTCACCTGCTGGTGGACGGACTCAGATCATCCAAATCTAGCAAGATATCCCAGAGTAGCAAGATAATAGATTGTAATGTTTGCCCCCTCAAAGAAACAATAGCACCTGCTGCTGGTATAAGAGCATCAGCTGCAACTGCTCGCACATCATCATCAGAATCTTCTAACCCTGCTTTACAGGCAGGGAGAATATAGCCAAGCAAGTCTTGTAGCATTTCCTGGTAAAGGAAAAAATCAGGAGACCATAACAAAGAAAAGCTAACAACATACATGAATTTCTGCGGACAAAACGGAACAAGATTGAGTACCTAGAATTTGCTAAACTATTAACTGAAATTTTTAAACCATCTTAAATTATTGGACGAAAGGTCACCCATGTCAAAAACAAAGGGAAAACAGTCTAGATGGATAGGGAGACAAGGCAGAAAGGGTCAGTATGCTGTCTAATATGTTCATTTTTTCCAGATAATTTTTTTATTAATAATCAATGTCAATTGACATGGAAATTTGCTTCCTTGTGATGGAGTTCTACCTGTCTCACAGCAACCAAATACTTGATGCCCAGAAGACTTCCATGACGAATTTCCCATTCAGGCCTACACTGAACAAAAATAAAAGACATAAAGATTACCAAACGTGGCACAAAGAAAGCTAACAAATATATCTTTTGTTTGAGCCAATTAAAAGAATGTAAAAACATTTACCTGCATCTGAAGCAAGACATTTAATGTCTCATAAACTAATGAAGGATTCATATATTTGAAAGCAGCACCCAGTGCTTGGGCACAAGTTTCTCGCACGGGAGCAACAACCTGATCAGATACATAATCCCCAAAACTGCAAGACAGAAAAAGACCAATGGACTAAGAAAAAATTACAAAACCTCAGCATGCAAGGATAATATAAAGCAAATAAAGAAAACAATTGCGAAGCCATACCGGTCAAGTGACAGTACACATAAGAAACGGATGGCGCAATCCTGAAGAAATTTCGAATTTTTGAACCAAGAATGCCTAGCTTGTTTCACCAAATTCATCAAATCACAATTTTCTTGAAGATCTTTTTCCAAAACAGGTAGCTCAGTTGAACTCTTCTCTTTAGAATAATTGTAAGCCTCCAACACATGATTCTTTACTTCCAAGTGAGAAGATAACCCACCACCCGTTGACGATTGAGGTTCAACTTTCATAAAATTAGGGACAAGTTGACCATTGACCTTCTCTATAGGTAGACCATACCCTGCATCTTCCACTTTTATGTTGATACCACAGCCATCGCCCTTAACATCTGACCAAATATTATCTGTAAATGAATTTGATGCTTCCTCAGTCTTTAGTCGCTTCTGGAGTGGCTCCAAGTCGTTTTCTGGGAACTGCATATTCAAGTCGAATTCCCTCTCTCTAGTGAATTTATTCAAATCCTCCTCTGACTCAAATTCAACGTCTGAGCTGAAATCAGTAGTTGACACTCCGGCCGAACCACCATGATGCGTCAAAATTTCTCTCAAAGCCATAACACTGCCATGGCGTATCTCCCAAGCTGACCATATAATTACATTAACACAATCAAACAAACAATATCGAACAGAGAGAGAACAAGTATGCAGCAAAAATACATGCCACTTACCAGGATCAAACATATCAAGAAGGATCTGCTCGATAAAACTATGAAAAGGCCATCTCCCATCCCCATCCCCATCAGGATCAATATCTTCCCCATTACTAACATCAGACTGCAAGTTTATAAAACATATGCAGGAGAAAACAGGTAAATCAATAAAAGATACCTTCTAGCAAGAATAGATATGGCTAACATCCCAATAATAAGCACATGAAATAAAGACTACCGCATACACCTTGAGGTTAATCACTGAAAACGACCACCCAATAAGCTAATTACTGCAATTGTATTTTCTATACAAATGTTTTCATTTTTTTTTAAATATCCACTAGTATGAACTAACGCGTTGTACAAAATCAAAGATAAAAAAATGGAGAAAGATAAAACAATGATCCGTCAAAAGATGGTACATAAACAACGTATCTGCTAAAAGTTCAAGTTGATCATCCACCAATAGCTTCATTTTGTAAGCCCTAAGTGTCACCCTATGCCACTAGAATCATCTCATCAAAGGCAAACTTTATTTCTGGTAGAAGTTTCGCATTAAAATTTATTAAGATGTATGCAATATTCAAAACCTTGTGGGAGCCCAACGAATCAGAAGAAAAGCTTTTTGAAGTTGTCATGGTATGTGGAGATGGCATCTCAGCATCTGCCTCATCAGACCAGCCTTTAGCTTGGTCTTTTGAACTTATTTTAGCTTTTCTCTTCAAAAGATTTAATTCTCTTGCGCTTGGCCTCTTAGATTTGAGACTGGGAACCATTCTTGAAACGAACTGCCGAATGTTATGCGCAGAGTAATTTGTGTATAACTTATTGCCGATCCCATTCCTATGAACACTGGAACTCTGCTCAATCAGATCCTCATCTCTGATCACTTCATTCACGTCCATAAACTGTTCACACATGTCCAAACCTGTTCCAAGGGATTTCCAGAATTTGTTAGATAGATACATGAATTGAAGAGAAAATTTATGTCTACAGATTTGTCAATAAATGAAACAGATGCATGGAAAGATGGACTTCAACAATCAAAGAGAGATGCGTGTTACACATGAAAATACGGATTCAAACAACAAAGATTTGTATATCTATTAGTTAGTCAAAGTTTAACTGCTGGCAGGATCATGATTCATGAACCGGAAACTTTTCCAAAACATTATCAGTCGTGTTAACTTTCTTGTTGAGCAGTTAAAGAACGCAAAGGGAATGCCCACACATGAACTACAGACTGCCATGAAATTACAGATTCTATCACCCAGAGATTTGTATCTCGACCGATTAGTCACACCATTAGCAACACGTAGGATGATGATTCACAATTAGAAACTTGTAATAAACATTATTACCATGTAAATTATTTTGTTGAGTAACTAAAAGAACACAAATGGAATGTATATAGAATGCATGATAAACTACTGACCCAGTCGACGCCGAAGATTCTGCTTCTGACGGGCTAGTCGATCCCTTGGATTCTTGGAGTTGTCATTCACAATATCATACTCCTGCAACAATAGTTTTCCAAACAAGGAAACATCTATTAATCAGGATATCACCAAAAACGCTTTCAAAGAACCAAAGAGACTGTTAAATCTATTCCTAAACAGATAGAGCAAGAATAAATGCGCATGCATAAATAGAAAAAGATAACAGCATGAAAATATCACATACACTTGCTATATCAATAGCTCCAAGAAAATGCAATCAAGACATCAGTATGCACGCGAGACAATAAAAAAAATTGATCATCTTTCTTCACACACATATACTAACGAGCAATGATCAACTCGTACAATTTGCGCATTAAAATTCCGTAGTTGTTGGCTCATCGAGATCAGCAAGTAGATTCTAGTAAAGCCCAAAAAGCATCATGATCTAAACTACCATCCAAGGAGAGATTAGACAAGATCATAGCAAAAAGTAAATTAATGGGAAAGAAGCTAAAAGCATTCCGACATTCCAACTTTTTTCCTTACTTCAACAATAAAATGGCATGATTGATGAGAAAGATCACTGCATTAAGGAGAAAATGGTATATCTAAGAGGCAAAAAGACTGAGATTAAGTGTTTGTAACACTACGTAGTTCTAAATATTGGTGACTGCCTGTAGGCTAGGCTCCATAAAAATATTACATGAAAATAGACTCATTGTGTCTACACCTAGAGACAATCAAGATGCAAGGTAGAAATTTTGCCAGAGGACAGTTCCCTTTAAAAAAAAATAACCTACACAAGTAAAGACATAATAACAGCGAAAACTACCTGTCCACCAGATGCCAACAAAGCCCCAAACTCTAAAACCTTGTTCATATCAAAACTGTAAGCACAAGCCAAAAGTTAGAGAGGTTAAAAGTAGTTGAAAGCCCTTGACCATGCAAAAAACAGGCATAAACCTAGAAAATGATGTAAAAAGTCATGGTTAGAATTTAGAAATATAACAAGATATTGAAAATAAGAAACACAAACCAACGGTAAAGTTCAGTGAACAACCTTTTGAAGGAAGCATTTGATAGAATCTTAGAATGAAAATTGCTAGAAGCCACCACATCTTCGACATTATCCAATATCCCAGCCTCAATTAGCTTCGCCGCCAAAAGAGCAAACAGCTCACCCAATGAGATATGCTTAACATTCTGGGCAATAGCACCAATAGCATGGGAAGCAGCTACCCGTGTGTCCCACTTTTTGCTGTGGAGATACGGAGAAACCTAATTCCAGAAACAATAGAGTATAATTAAGGAACAGATATGACAGCCTAACATAAAAGAGCATAGGAATGAGTTTAAGAAAGGTTAAAAAATAATAAAAGGGGAAACAAAAAACCAACATTAAACTTTGAAAAAGGAAAACATGGCAAAAAAAAAGAAGCAATGTTATAGAACCAAAGTAATGAAAAATGCATCAAAGATGTCATGAAAAAACCATTCCAAGGGCTTTCACCAAACAAAGATAGAACAACTGACATTGCTAACGTCATTGATATATCAGTTCAACTTAATTCCTATAATAATGTATTGGGAATGCAACAAACGAGAGAGAAAAACAAGGAAAAGAAAGGGTAGGATATGAAATCTGAGAATAAAAACCTAAAACGCTTAGCAAGTAAAGAACCCAATCATCCCATATCAAATGTGGAAAACAATGAAATGGGAATCAACAAGAACGATACCTTTCTTAGTAGAGAGTTCAAGTCCTGGGGATGGGACTTGGCAATATCTCCGATTTGCCTCGCTGCAGTGAACCTCGTAGCTTGTGTTGAACCAGCTATGAAGATAATCAAGAAAAACAACTTCCTTTGTACAATGAATGAACACACGAGCAAAAAAAGAAACTATTAAGATAGAAGCAAAGCAAAAACAACCTCATATGCAATGTTTTGTAACAAAGACAAAAACTTCCAGGAAAAATCAAGGATACTGTCCAACAAAGTAAGCAAGCGATTGAGGCGCGAAGATTGCTGAGCCATAAAGGCTGCAGTGACAGCGACGGCAACAAAAAGTGTGAAACTTCTCTTGGATTTAATTCCACATCCACATTCATCCAATCCCTTTGCAAAAATGACCCTTCAACACACTGCAAATAAATCAACAGAATAGCAAAGCTTTAATGCGGAAAGACAAATAAACAACATCAAAGTAAGTAATAATATATGAACAAGGTATTCCAAGGTTTAGAATATGACTCGAGAATCTGATGTATGAATACTCTCTAGTATTCATAACATACTAAACGTAGATAGATCTAATATTCTACACAGTCTTTAACTAAAGACACAAACAACATTTTAGTTTCTTGTACAAAAAATAATAAACTCCTACTGGAATATATATTAATACTCAAAGTTTAAACATATTTGAACCATTATCATGGCAATCAGAATTCTCCATCAACAGTGGTGATACATTATAAATTCAAAGACATTTTTGTTTGTGCATATTGTTTACAAATCTCCTAAGGCTACTAGACTCTAGACTTTCCCCTAATCATTGCGAATAAACCTCATTGTGATGTTCATTTTCTTCTCTGATGGAATATTCCAAAAGCATAAAATTGAAAGAAAAAAAAAATATGAGAACCTCATAATGTGTATCCTTTATTTCTCTAGATTAAAGTACAATATATCACTAAATCAAAGATGATATTATTATTATTACTACTTTAGTAAAAGAAATCCATACAAGCCTACATATGCCGCACATAGAGCAAACTTAGTATCTTTAGAACCTAAATTCTATCCACAATAGCAAAGAGTCAGATAGTCCAAACAAACAACTGGTTTCACTGTTCTGTGCTTGTATTAGAATACATCACGATCTAAGGGAAGGAAACATGTAATCTCACCATACGCTTAGATAACTAGTTCTCAAAAGCATTAGCATTATATCCCTTAGCACAGTTGAAGGCCTTTAAAAAATCTGTGGAATTAATGCCATGGGAAAATCTGTGGAATAATTATCACCCGCTGGTGACCCATCAAATGGTTTAAATTTGGGTTTAACTCAAATAAAAAAAAAATCAAGAAGATCAAGAAACATAAGTTCCGAAATTTGTTTTTTTTTTAAAAAAAAAAGCTGTAAATTTTGTTTATGGAACATAATCTCATAATTTACCGATCAATTCTGAACAAAATTCCCCCTACAATTTAGACCAGACGAACCATTTCCTTCAGAAATTACCACAAAGACCACACGAAGTAATCAGTATTCTACGTTATACATGAACAAGTTCACAGGAACCAACAATCAAAAGCCTCAATGAAAAAATGGACGAAGATAAATTAATCAAATCGTCATCGGAGATCAAAGATATACCTGAGCACGGCGGGTGGTCGGAGGAGATGAAAATTTCCTCCGGTGACGGATTCCTACGGCACGGCGAAGAAAGATATGCAACGGCGGAGAAAACTCGGTTCGACGGGAGGAGCGAGAGGGATGGCAGAGGTTTGATTCGCGTGCGAAGGAACTTGGATATGCAAACCCTAATTCGATTTGTCTGCGACCAAAGAGTTCGCAAGGGAAATAGATAGAATGAGAGCAATAAATAAAAAAAAATTAAAAACAGTTCGTAAGGGTAAAAATGGAAATTCATATTTTGAGAGTAAAGGAAAAAGAAGAGCAAAATAAACCCAGTCAAAAAATATATATAATCATAAAAAAAAATAGAAAGCCATTTGATTCGGGGCCTTTTGGTAATTATAGAAGGTTGAACATTTGGGCAGAGGTGAACTTTATTAATCCAATAGTCGAACCAAATAAGATAATCAGGATATTAAAATCGAATAGTTATAATTTTTTTAAATATGAAAAATCAAACCAATTAAAAAATAGAAAAAAATGATATTTTTTGAAAAAATGATTTATAATAAAAAGATTGAATATAAACCGAATAAAAAAATAATCGAATCGAAATTTATATAAAAATCGAATGGTTAAGTTTTTCTCTACATAATATAAATAAACTGAAACCCGAAAATGGTCACCCTAGATTTGGATCAAAAAAAATATTAGAGCATCCATAAATCAAATGAATAATTTTCATCATTGATACGTAGGTGTGGAACTTTTTGTGACTCAAATCTATTGAGAAAAAATTATACTCGGGCGTATTATTTTCGAGATGTAGATCTTTTATATTTACAAGATTATAAAAACTATTATTATAAAATTACTTGTAATTAACTAGGTCTTGATATTTATATTTTAAATCAATTTCATCATCTCTTTTTTAAAAACTTTTTTCATGTTTTGAGAAAAATTTTATCAAACTTTTGTAAAGGATAGTTTAAAACTTAAACAAATAATTTTTTTTTATTAAACCATTAAATCTTGGAAATAAGTGTCGTTAGACTGTCTTGTGAAGATTGTGTATAATATAAATGTCAACTTGTTTTTTTTATTCATTCAAATACTAAATTTCACACATCTAAAAATTCTACATGAATCCATAATTTTACGTCGTATTGATATGAAATATTGCAACAATATTTTTTTCTAAAGTAAGAAAATCTCTATTATGACCATGGGATTAGAAATGTTTTAAAATGTATATCGAAAGAGAACACAACAAAAAAAAAGGATGGATAAAGCCTCCATATTTGAAAACAAAACCAAATCAACCAGAATATCCTCTTTTCTTTCAATGCAATTTATATCTCCTAATTATCCATGATACATTTTTTACACAACCATAAATATATATTTAAAGAAATTTAGTTTGTAATATATTATCATTATTATTATTTTGGATAAAACGTAAATTATAACTTTTATTTTGCAAAGACATACAATAATTTATATCTAGATATATTTTACAAACATTCCTCGTTTTTATTTTTTAAAAAATGAAGACGTACTACAATTTCGAACCAACCAACGGAGGGGTGTCATAAGAGCCAATAGCAGCGAGAACCTCTCTTAGAAGAGTCTCCCTCATCCGACCGTACACGTGTCCATCCCACCCTCGCCTCACCAGATCCTCGCCCAACCTAACCGCGGCCTTAACCGTCTCAGCCTCGCTATCGTGCGCCGAGTCCACGATCCCCATCTCCACCGCCTCGGCCGCGGTCAGCTTTGCCGCCGCTAACACCACGTTCCTCCTCGCCGCCGGAGACCCGATCTTCAGGCGGATCATCGGCATGAACCATGCCGGACATACGACGCCGATGTCGAGATCGCTCATGTAGAGGAATCCCCTGTCACGACGCATCAGGATGTAGTCGTGGCTCATCGCCAGGCCGAGTCCGGCACCGGAGGCGTGGCCGTTGACGGCGGCGATCGTCGGCATGGGGAGGGAGATAAGGTCCGCGATGAGTGACCGGAGCTTGGCGTCCATGACTTCGAAGAGAGAGGGATCGGATCGGCCGGCGACGAAATCGTAGCCGTTGGAGAAGAACTTGCCTCTGGATGTTGTGATTAGGACTGATCGTGAAGCTGACGGGTCGGACCGGACGCTGCGGACGGCGGAGTGGATGTCGTCGAGCACGGCGGCGCTAAGGCGGTGCTGGTCGCCGTGACCGAGGAGCGTTAGTTTGAAAACGTTTCCTCGCTTCTCCAACGTACACATCTCGGTTGTGATAGCCAAATTGGCCCCGGGGGACTGCTAAACGAATGAATGCATGTGTGTATATATAATAAAGTTCTGGTAATCAACTTTGATGGACCGACAAATTACAAATCGAATTATGAAATGGAAAAAATGCGTGATAAATTATCCCAAAAAAAACGTGTGATAATAATACCTCGTGAATGTCGAAATTGTCAATGAAAAAAAAACGTGTAAATTTAAATTTGTTCTGTTCCGATTTCTAACTCTATCTATAAAAGAGTTGGATTTCACACAATGATATTTATATCCAAAGTCCCTATATTTTTACAAGATACCAAAATTTATTAAAATCACATATGACCCAAATATGGTTATTGAACCAACATAATAATCTGCATAGGCATCAACTCTCCAGCAAAATTTTTTCAGATCATTACATATAATCATCATTTGTTCACACGGGTTTAAAAAAAAACACCACAGAAGACAGACCAAAAGAAATCTAGCATATCTTATGTTCAAACCTCTCATCTCGAAACAGATCACACCAAAACATTATAACATCACATAAAATGGAAAAAAAAACTTGGAAAAGATAACAGGTAATAATCTATGTTCCTTCGTTGAAGTTGTGGACAGACAAAAGGCTCTTTGTCAACCAGATGGCGGTTTCTCTTGAAGAGACAGCTTCTTCACCAAACGGTCTTAACACACCAGCGAGATCATCATATTTCTCTTGCTTGAGCAGCCTTGCACATAGCTCTAGCAGAGATTCCAAGGCATTAGCCCTTTCATGATTCAGACTTCCATCAATACCCAGCTTTGTAAGCTTACTCAGCAATGACATGTCACTTGCTGTCAGATTTATCGCCTTTGCATCTTCGTCTTTTACTTCCATCGAGCTGGCATCGATGCCCGTGTCTGGTTTTCCACTTGTTCTGTCTTTGTCGGTGTGAATGCTTCCCGACAGGGACTCAGCTGTTGTGTCAACTTCTGTAGATTTCTCTAGACTTGTTTTTTCGGTTAGGTTGCTCGTAACATCAGCCAAGCTGGCGTCACTTGAAGGAGCGGTGCTCGAGATAGGCGGGTTTCTCGGCTCAGTCCCTTCAACTTCAGTTTCTTCGATGGCTTGTTGAGGGCACAATGGTTCATCTTTTGTGCTCACAACCTTGACATCAATCTCATGCAACAACTGAGAATCCTCAGTGAAGGGCATTACTGCTTCTTTCGGAACTGTAGCATGTTCGTCTTGCTTTTCTGCAGAGTAGATGGCCATCTCTGGCTCAGCCAGACTGTCACTTGAACTATGGACGGTAGGCTTGGGAATATTCAACGTGCAGCAAGTGGGATCAATTCTTTTGGTTTCAAGTTTGTCCTCTGCACTACTCATTGATACCGACTTTGCACTTTGAGACGAGCTGCTTGAGTGAGCTTCAGCCATTGACTGAAATGAATACAGATTCTCCAAACTCCGAGCCACCTCTCCTCTCTCTCTGTAGTCGTTCTCATTCACAAGCTTGCCCGGCAACGATTTTCTTCTTGCTTTATCCTTGGGGCTGTTTGTCGGCTTTATCAGGAAAACAGGAAGATAAACAGGCGACGGGTTTTCACACCGAAGGACGTATGCCTGGAGACAAGGGTTCCTCAAAAGTTTTGCAGCCTGTACAGTTAAAACGGTATCAGTATAATAGTAACTATTGTAGATGGAGTCATATGTCATAACTTACCGTAGGCCGATGTTCCGGCTTCTTCCTTAGCATAGCCTTGATAATTTGTTTCCTGGAACATAAAATAGTCAAACCATAGTCTCATTGTATAAATCTGAAACTACATCGCTTGCACAGCGACAAACTTACAAGTTGGACGAGTATACAATCGGAAGA